ACTTTTTACTAAGATCAATGTAGTTGTATGTAAACCAAGGGCAATAGCATGATGAACCAAAAAGTCTCCAGGACCTATTGTTAAGAATAATGAATTATTATTTTCATTAACAACATTTAACCAACCCGGCAACCAGATGCTTCGACCCGCATTGAATGTTGGGCCAGCCGTTGAAGATAAAAGTACATCGAACCCATATGAAGTTTTACCAAGAGCGGATTGTATCCATTGAGCAAATATAGGTTCAATCAAGATTTGCTTCTCCGGAGTGCCAAAGACAAGCATGACATTCTTAATTAAGATGAATCCGATATCATAACATTCAACTCGTCCTAGATAGATAAAAAAAAATACACATAAATTTTATAAAATTATTTTCTTTTAAAAAATAACATAAAACAAAAAAATTGAAAAATATTCACTTTTTTCAGGAACTATATGTGGATCATTATATTACTTTTATGTTGGTTAATGTGGTATTGACGGATTATTGAACTTAATATTCAGCTAATTATCACGTTCTTAGTCTTTTCCTAAGTGTACGTGCGGTACTTGAAAATTTGGTCACGTTCTTGCACCACTTGCTTACGATTTTGTTATGCAATTCAGCCTAAAACTCTAACAATCGCTAAGAGAATGGAAGAAAGAGCATAAGAGAATTGTTAGGAAGAATTGTGTAGAGAACTTGTCTTGATTTTTGCTTTGATAATTTTACAAATGATTGCCTTTCTATTTATACTATCAACTTAGGGGCTAATATTTAAATCAAGTTTATATATATTTACAAATAAATCTCTTCTATAGAATACTCTACAATCCTAGATTCCAGAACCTCTATGTATGTAATTCTATAATCTTCCAAGGAAAATATCTATATTTCTCTAGAATCATCCACAAAGACAAGTCTTTTTCTTATGTAAACATGAATTCACATTGACAACTTTATACTATGTGACACTTATACAACACTTATGAAGCGTGATGATGTGACAGATCCTCACATACTATTTAGTGGATAAGGCTAAATACGGAGAAAATCATACTAACCTGAGTCACATGGAATTTATATAAAACTGAAATCCCTAAAGATTTATGCTAATCACTACGATAGTAACTAAGGGAGAAATCGACTTTTGTATATTTTGTTAGAAAAATATCGCTGGTATTGATAAATAGAAAAATACTGCTATTCTAGATCAAAATATGGTCTTATATACCTATATATAGAGGAAATTTCCCCTTTTAACTTATATAAGTGAAATTCCATAATAATACCATAATTTTTTTTTAAATTTAAGCAAAATTTTAAAAAATCAATATTTTTCAATTACAAGAATTGTAAAGGGCCTATTTGTGAATTTTTCTCTAGTATATTTTGCCTTTTGGTTTCACTTGGAGAAGATATCGATTATATATATAAAAAGACAAATTACAAGCATACATGACCGTTAGTAATTTTTACCATATAAGGATTTTTATCTTATTATATAAGAAATAAATAAACACACAGGTTACGATCAATATGTGTGCTTCTCGGAATTAAATTTAAGTGTGAGGATACTTTTGTTATTTAGCTTTATTTTATAATTTTTGGTATCTATTTTCTATATGTTTATATTAATTCATTTTTTAAAAGTTTGATTTAAAGTTTAACTTGTGTTTGGTCATACATTTCACAAAAAAAGTGTTTTGAATTTGAATGTACTTTTACTAGATATAATTTATATCACTAATTTCTAAAAATTAGCAAAATAATTGAATATGACTCCTTTTTAAATTTAAAATATACATATTCAAAATTTGCTTTAAAAGTACAATAAATCGTAATAATTGACAATTCAAAATACTTTAAAGATATATGAAAAAATTATGATGAAAGACATATTGTAAAAAGTATAACTAAACAAACTCTAACTTCATATAAAATGAAAAATATATGAGATAAAATAGGGCGTTGAATAGGAAAAATTGTATTTACAATTAGTTACTTTGCCTTTAATTCTATTATTATTGATGAAGTATTATTACAGTTTATAACTAAGCGTAAGTTATATATATGACTTAATGTTATTGGGTTTGTGCTTTCCATGGGCTATCGGTAACTAATCTCTCTAAGAAATGTGAATAACCAAGCTTCTCCTGGAGGGGTATTTTGGTAAGTTCATTGATCATAATAGTGTCAATATCTATAGTAATAACATCCCGGAAAAAAGAGAGTCAATTACCCTGTGAAATTGAGATATTATCTCGAACCAACAAGGTGTGAGTTCAAGTAATTAATCAAGAAGTTTAAGTCCGAGCACTTTGTGTAGAAGAAAATTCAGTTGACATTTTGGAGAGAATTGAGACAATATTGACTGTTGTTGAATATGTGGTATGGGGTCAGTAGTCCTAATTCCACCAAGTTGCTTGTAGGTCCTCCTCTTCTCCACTATCAACATTTTTTTTTATTATTATAACAACATATGGAGTAGTACTTAATTAATTGATGTGTGGGGTCTATTAATACAAAACAAAGTTTAATGATTTATTAATATAAAATAAAGTTTAATGATTTTGTTAGATAAATTGTTAAAGTTGAGTGAATTTTCGAGATATTAACTCGGACAAACAAACAAGTTTAATAATTTTGAGTTAAAATTCAAAGTTGAGTGACTTTCTAAGAAAAGAGAGCATAGTTGAGTGACTTTTGAGTTAATATTCAAAGTTGAGTGACTTTCTGAGAGAAGAGTGTATAGTTGAGTGACCATATGAGATATTAATTCATGATTTATTAATACAAAACAAAGTTTAATGATTTTATTAGATAAATTATTAAAGTTGAGTGAACTTTCGAGATATTAACTCAGACAAACAAACAAGTTCAATTGGAATACAGCTAATTATCCCTCAGCTCGTGCCCACTTATATCTCCAAATTTTTTGCACTAATTGAAACATGGGTTTGCACCACAGCTGCGACCCAACACCTTTCACAGGGTAGGGACCCCTAAACTGCTTATAATGCTTTCCACACTAGCTCAATCCATTTCCCTTCTTTCTTTCCCAACTTATTGTTGGGTTCTAAAGGGTGATTAGGGCGTCATACGGAAGTTTACAATTGCAATTAAGACGGTGATAAATTAGATGACAAATAAAAACATACTAAAGATATATTATTAATATGGTTTGGTCAAACGACCTACATATTATAAAACTAATATAATATTAAAAAAAACATAAATATGTTTAGGAGAAAATCTCCCCATAAACAAGACTCTTAACTGACTACATTGTGGATTCTCTTGTGTTTTTTATATGAGAAGAGGGGTGTTCAATTTATAGAGTTCCAAACTTTTCTTCCAAGGAAAGAATAACTCAACTATGGAAGAATATTATATTTTCCTTTCAGGAAAAGTAAAAACATTTATGGTAATGTTTTGTCTTTTCTTTTAGGAAAAATAAATCTTAAATTATGGTAAGAAAATCAGGGCAAAACCCTAACATTTATTACAAAATCCTGTAATACTCTAGATCCGTTTCAAAAAGAATAGTCTAGTTTAACTTGTTACGAAGTTTAAGAAAATAAAAAAAAATCTTTAATTTGTGATCCTAAATTAAAGTTATATCAAATATACCAAAATATCATTTAATCTTATGGCCTTAAATATGTCATATGAAATGTTGAAATTAAATTATTACTCTTTTCGAAACAAATTAAAAAGGAAAGGAGGGGAGAATATTAATTTACCACGACAGATAACTTTGCATATATATCAAACCTAATATGAATTTATATATGATTTCAGCCTTAAGCTTTTTACTATTAATATTATTACATATTTATACTTATGAATTTAAGTATAAGTATTATTTATTGTATTTTGAATTTGGTGGATTTCTACCTTCAAATTTATGTTTTGCGTCTAAAGTTTTGTTCTAGATGAATTCAGTGTCACAACGTTGCATTCGCATATGAATATAGTAATTAGTTGGTTGATATAGAGAGAACCTGTAATTATAAACAATTAAATCAGATCAAGTGTGTAATGTTTTTTTCTACATTGTGGGCTTTAAAATTTAAATTAAGTCAAAGGTTAAATTTGCACCTTAATTATGTGAAATGAAATATATTTATCCTCTATTAACTGTTGGGGTCAAATATACGAATCCGTAGTTAAAACAGTCAACTTTTTCTTCCAAAGTACATAAAAATGTTACTCAATTTTTAGTTTAACCAAAACGAAACTTCACTATACTGTTAGTGAAATGTAATTTTCCTTTTTTTTCCTGCAAAAATGCTGCTCTGTCAGCGAATATGTTAAAAAAATTACTATATTTTTTTTCTTCTGAAAATCGCTTCTCTCTCAACGAATTGTTAAAGTTTTATTTTCTTTCGATTACAGCTTCAATTTTTATTTTTAAATGATTGAAGCTTAGCACTCAGTGATGTCATGCATACCATGAAAGATTAGTTACTGATGTCATGCATACCATGAAAGATTAGTTTTCTTAAGGAAAAAGAGGCAATTATATCACTTCAACTTTCCGATTTAGAATGGATATACTCTCATTAAAAAAATATGGTGCATATATATATCGACGTTATCTAACAAATGATGTTCTTTTATTAATAAATCTATATTAACTAATTTAATTTGACCCCCTTATTTACGATATATTCCTCAACTTTGTCATTTAGAACTGATATACCCTCTTGTTATGAAAGTGACTCATATAAATCCTTACCGTTAAAGGAAAAGAGTATATATGATCCATTTGTGTAACAGTAGGGGTATATATGAGTCATTTTCATAACGACGAATATATCAATTCTAAATAGCAAAGTTGAGGTACATATCAGACCCTTTTCCCAATATACCATAGTGATGGCCAGTTTTGTAAATACAGGTCAAGATAGGACCAAACCTAACCACAATACCTTTTTCTTTTATCAATATATATATATATATATATATATGCATGTGAATTGTGATCATGCAAACACAAAGATATATAGTGCTTAATATTGGATAATTATAGTTATTTATTCTTCCACCTTACCCATTGTAACTCAATGGCATCAGCTTCCACACTTATTGTATTATTGTTCTTCCTTTCCATGCTACTCATAATGCCATTGACTTCACAAGAAAAAGACAATGAGAATTTTGATGAATGGATATCTTTGAATGTGAAACACTACAATAGTAGAAAGAGAGAAACAAGTTTGAAATGGATGCAAGAATCAATTAAACACAAAAAACAACATGTTCCTCCAGCTCCTGTTAGCAGCAGCTTAGATCCAAAACTTATATACGCAGAGATGAACAAAATGATAATCAGTGTGAGTCAAGATGGAAGTGGCAATTTCAACACTATCAAGGAAGCTCTTGCTAGCATTCCACTCTATAACAAGCGCAGGGTCATACTTGACATCAAACCCGGAGTTTATAGGTATGTACCTCATTATTATTACATATGACAGTATAAAAAATATTTACGCAATCAGATTAATTACTTACTCAACATATTAGGATAGTAGAGACACCTTATGCTAAGGCATGTCAATTCACATTCCTTCACTAAAAATCAATTACACTATAATGAGGTACATATGCTAAATAATTAAACCCGGATTAGTAATCTAAAAAGACTTTAACTTTTATATAATTTTACAATATATATATAATTAAAGTCGATTCCAAATAAGTGACTTTATGGCCACTAAAAGTATATTGATTGCGAAATAAAATCTCTTCCACGTGTATAAGATAAGGTATTTAACTACATTTAGTGGATAAAATCTTCACTATATATAAAAACTATATTTACTATCTTGAGTGCTTTATTTCTTTTTTGGGGGGAGGGGGTACTATAACGAGTACAACAAATGATGACTTGGATAAAAGTTTAGTATTACAAGTAGTAATATTATTGTGACGATAATAAGTGAAATTGTAGGGAAAAGATTAACATTCCAAGAAGTTTGCCGTTTGTGACATTTCGGGGCGATAGTACCAATCCTCCACGGATTACAGGAAATGACACAGCTTCAGCTACTGGAACCGGTGGTACGCCTTTAAAGACATTCCAAAGTGCTACTGTTTCCGTCGATGCCGATTATTTTATCGCCATAAATGTCATTTTTGAGGTAAATTTCTATATTAATCTTGTGATCTTGTCAAGTTGTTCATTAGATTAGACCAATATCCATACGATTAAAATACGAATGTAAGGAACATGCATGCACCAACAAATTCCCTGCGTATGACATAAGTCCGTGACAGTATTCTACTTAAGGTTCGTTTGTCACATGGAATTTTTTTACAAGTTCGTAGTTGAAGCCTTGAAGGCTAAATTCTACTGCCATACAAAATATTCCAACAGATAAAACAAAAAAGTGAAGTAACATAAGCATTAGCACATACTGTCACTAGCGTTTAAAAATAAATTACTCCTCCTATCTCAATTTAACCGTCTTAGTTTGTCTAAACATACATTTACCAGACTTTTCAATCTTATCATCTTAAATTAAAAATATGTATAATCCTTTAAATCTTGCAGTATTAAACCTATCAGGTGGAGGTAGATAACAAGTTAGTAACTGTTCAATTAAAATCAATACTTTTTATATGGATGTTAGGAATCTATATAATTTTAATTAAAATTACATTGAATTCAACGATAAGAACCTAAAAATTAAATATATCCTAATAGATAGCACTTTGGTTTTGCAGAATACAGCACCCCATGTGGTTGGAACGGCAGGAGAACAAGCAGTGGCATTAAGAATATCAGGGAACAAAGCAGCATTTTACAACTGCAGTTTCTACGGAAGCCAAGACACACTTTATGATCACAAGGGACTTCACTATTTCAACAATTGCTTCATTCAAGGCTCTGTTGATTTCATTTTTGGCTATGGTAGATCCCTATATGAGGTCAGTTGCATTTTAATTAACTTATGTAGACATCGTCCTTGTCTATTGTCTAAAACATGTCATGAAAAGTTACGTTTCTTTCATGTACCTTATGTGAACGTGAGATGCTTTGTGCACTGAGTTATCAGTTGTCCCAAATCTAATTACATTTTTATATATTATGTGGATAGAACTGCCAGTTGAACTCAGTGGCAAAGAAAGTAGCGTCCCTGACAGCCCAAAAACGTACAAATTCGTCGATATTAAGTGGATTCTCGTTCAAGAACAGCACTATAACAGGGACAGGATCAGTTTATTTAGGCAGAGCGTGGGGTGATTATTCTAGAGTGATTTTCTCTTACACTTACATGGATAACATTGTTCTTCCACTAGGATGGAATGATTGGGGAAAAACAATTAGAGACTCGTAAGTCTTTTGGTTTTTACTGATCTTTTATAGTTTCAAAATTGTTTTGGCAATGAAGTTGAAAAAATGGATGTAGGAGAGTGTATTATGGGGAGTACAGGTGCAGTGGACCAGGAGCCAACATGACAGGAAGAGTTCCGTGGGCACGAATACTCAACGATGAAGAGGCCATGCCTTTTATTGAGACCTATTATGTTGATGGCAATTCTTGGCTTATACATCCCTATTAGTTCCAACTCAAGAATCAACTTTATTGCTTATATGCACCCTTTCACGTCTTTCTTCTTGTTGTTGTTGTGAAGAATAACAAATTTATTAGGAGCATATGTACCACGTTTCATTGTAAAAGATGCACCCTATATATGTATCTAGGTTGCCTTAATCCTTTGTTGATGTTGCAAGCCAAAAGCAGAACAAGTTGTTACTTTCTTTGATTAATATGAATGAAGAATACTTTATAGTTCGATTATTTTCACCAAAATGTTAGCCCCAGGCTCAAAATTCAAATCCACTGCTATTTGCATAATATTTTTTCTTCAAAGATGAGACATATACAGTTGACATAATGTTTCGCGCTTCCAATTTAAATTGATCATATCATAAATATGGCCCTGCTTACATGTTTGCTGCAGGGGTTTATGGACTGAGTTGGATACTAGCATCCAACTTCATTTCTTGACAATGAAATTATATTCGACACTAAGATCAGACCAGGGATAAAGAAACAACTTACATAAACGCGTACTAGTACTATATACACTTGGAAATGCCCATGTTTCTAGGATTTCTTTATATGGGTCAAATACAACACTAAGATATAATGTTCCAGCTAGGAACATCCTCAGCTTCAACTATCCAGCCACAGTAATAGTAAGAGTAATAATCCTTGTTTGGAGTAACCAAATTCGTGTTACTATTATGATCGCCTGTTCGCAGCCCGTCGTCTTGTCCTTGAAGATAGATGTCCTCGCGAGATCTGATAAGCGCTTCCATCAGCAACACTAGTGATGCCATCCTATAAAATGCTAACCAAATATTGCTGCTGAGTGAAAAACAGAGAGAAAGAGGGGCAGAGTACCAAGAAAATGAATGTGCCACTATAAAATGTAAAATATGGCCTGCCATGTACCATATTCATGAGTTGGATCATCTGAACCTCAACTACTTATTTTGCAACACGAAAAGAATTTGGACAATCATGAAATTTTCTTTACCTACTTCCAATTAGATAAAACTTGTGACCAGTAGCGTAGCCACATATAGTAAAAGTTGATTAGTTAAACACTCTTGCTTTGAAATTTCATACTATAAATATATAATAAAATATACTTGTTCAAAAATCATACAAAGCTGTTGGAATTATTCAGGTATATAACGTGAGATATATGAGTCAATTGGAGTTGAACAACCCATCGCTAAACTTGACCAATTTCATTAACCATTTAAGGCGGCCTAAAGGTATAAAACAAGTTTCCATGAATAGCACAGTAAGCTACAAGGACGCGACGCCCAATTCCATTGGTAACGGTAGAGTCAAGTGTGTGCATTATTATTAGAGGATAGTTATTAAAAATGAGAGGAATTACGATCGTCTGGCCACTTATAAAATGAACAGAAGAAGATGATCTTTTAAGATATTTGTAAAAAAAAAGAAGCATATGCCCATCACTCCAACAATGACAATAAATGGTCCAACAAATTGTGTTAGTGATGTATTTATTTTAAGTCAGTTTGTGGACATTGTGCCTTGAGCACTGGTTGCAGAAACAGCACTGTGCCTTGTGGGCCAACAATTATATGTACAAGTCAAAATGTTTATGATGATAAAAGAAACATCTTCTGCAGCTTGTGGACAACAACAGGTTCCTACAAATACAATAAATTCAAAACTGTCTTCCAATCGGCTCGCGCGACTGAGTAGAGGTACCTGACAACCAAGAGGCTGAAACATTAGGCGATATGCTCTGCAAGACTAAGAATTTTAACATGCTTCTTTTTCCTCAACTCATGGGGCACTGGACCAAAAACTCTGGTTCCAATGGGTTCACCATGCTTGTTGATGAGTACCACAGCATTGTCATCAAACTTTACTTCGCTCCCATCACAGCGGCCTCTTGGCATAGCAGCACGAACAACAACACCATAATGCACTTCTCCTTTCTTCACCTTACCGCCTGGCTGAGCTTCCTTCACTGAGCAAACTATTGTGTCTCCTAATCTTGCTCCTTTCTTTCCCTTTAGTGCTTGGATGCATGCAACTCTCTTTGCACCTGAATTGTCTACCACTTTCAGACTCGTCCTCATTTGTATGAAAGTTCTTTGTTGCTGAAAGGACCAAAAACAAGTGAAAAAACTTTACAATCATGGTAACAAGAGACAATTCAAATACTACTCAATTAGCAGAGTCGACTCATAAGTTTCAAGACCTTTTTCATAGCAACTCAGCCATGTGATGTTGTTAAGTTGCTTCCTTTAATAAAAATTAAGCATTTGAAATTTTTGATCAGTAAGAAGGGCTTATCATAATGTGAGGTATGATTTATGAATGATGTAGCTTGCGATATCATATTATATAATATCATGCGTTGACAAAATGCACGCAACATCCAAATTTCATGCTCAATGACTGATTAAGATTGCAAACCGGAAAAAGATTAGGGTATTGAGGGTGAGACAATTAAACAGCATAGCAGACGAACCTGGAATAACAAATGATTGCACAACATCTCGTGTGTTGATCTCATTAAACCATCAGCATTGTTGCAAAGACCACTGAACAATGAACGACCCACTGCTGCAGTTTCATCATAAACAATTTTAAGCACAGGCCATGCATACAGACAAGGAAATAAGGAAGAGCTGATGATTAGGAAATGTGGATAGCATAGGAGGCAGTGGATTCAATGAGCTGGTACAGGGAGCATAGTATCCGGTTGCAGTTGCTAACGGGCTTCGTAATGCACATAAAACCATCAATATTGGATAACCAATTAACCATTTCTGCAAACTTGTCTAAGTGCAAAATTTGTTGGTGACTCTATGGCTGATAAAAATCACACTACGTCCTTTTTCCAAGTTGAATTATCATGTTCAACTTAAAAATGATTAAATAAGCTTATAGGTGTAGTAGTTTCACACTGCAACTTTGAGACCAAGTATTAGTAAATTTATTTTTCCTTTAAGAACATTAAAAAGAAACAAACAAGAAAAGCTGTATCAAGTAGAAAAAACGAGTCCATAAACATCATTTAGGACAATGAGGGTATACAACTTGGAATGGAGCAAATTGATTCAGCAGAAGTCTTATTCACACAAGAGAATAAATCTCCAATGATCCAGACTTAACATTATATGGGTAAAACCCTCCCTTTACAACTATAAATCTAAGTTCTACTTGCTATGCTGTAAAGAATGAAGATGACATTCACTGCTCAAAGATTTTGATACCAAACCCCACTGAATGAGTAGATTACTCGGTAATAGTGACGAATTCACTACTTAATCGTTTCTCCTTTTCCGATGGAAAAATTCCAGAGAAAGAAAAAGGGAAAACTCCCTCTTACCCAATTTATATGGTGGCCCTTTTTGCTTTTCGACATCCAAACTACGTAAACTTTGACCAACACTTTAAAATGTATTTTTTTTTGTAATGTTGACATGAGAAAAATTGCAATTTGTGGTACTTTTCGTATAGTTTGTGAATCTAAATTATAAACTATTGAGTTGATCTAATCCAATTAAAGATTAGTCTACTCTCAGGATACAGAAAGTGCCATAAAAATGGGGGGGGGAGAGGGGTAATACATTATATCACTAGAGACGAAACATGTAATTCCTGTTTATGAGCTGCTCTGTGCAAGAAATATAAAATGAGTTTGTTGTGTGGAGAATAACTAGAACATGTACATGGAAATCCTAATCTGAGCTCATTAGACTATCCACCAATGAGCAAAGATGTGTAAACTACCTCTCTGCGGATCAAAAAAAGGAGTATCTCGGCCTGTAACCCCTAAAACTTACTCTTATTTGTTTACACACTTCTTTTTTCATTAGTTTATCTGCATGAAACATCACCTTTTCCCATGAGGCAGGGGGAGGAGAGAATATCATTGGCATTTTAATATATTATCATTGAAAAGGAATGAGAGTCACAAGTTCCATCTCACACAAATGAATATCATGCCGCTCCATATTAGCAATCAAAGCAAGTAAAGCCCCTTACCACGAACCAACCGAGAAGAAGTAGAAGATGCAGCCATATTTGGAAAAGATTCTGTGATAGGAATGAGAAAGTCAGATACAATATAATCCACGAATAGACATAATACAAGCATTACCAAATTAGAACACCAGTTATACCAATAGGTGTAAACAATGTTCAAATAGATTTAGTGTAAGTAATAATCAAATTATGTGGAGTACAGTAGTAAGCCAGCAACATGTGGTGCAGTGATCGGTGAAAGAAAAACTCAAGCATCAAAAGCCTTGATAACTTGAAGATTTCCTCCTTTTTCTGTTGAATATGGTAACCCATCATCCCCCGCCCTCCCTAGGACCCCCTTACAGAGGAGATTAACAGTGGGCCTTTTTCACTTTGCTCCATTAGTGACTCAAACCCTCAATCTTGTGAAGGGCCCTTGCCAACAGGGTATTCCTCCTTTGTCTAATTTCCTTCAGAACTCTCATCACAGAATACATATTAAATTTGTTACAAATAAAACTTGTCAAATACACACAAAGACAAGCATCACAATCTATTGTCGATCCTTTTTTTTTGGATGTTGCAAAAGTTTTTTTTGAGAATTAATCAAAAGTATTGTCACCCATAATTCTGTGCATAAAGACTTGGTAATCTGGAAGCTGTGAATTGCATAATTCACTACTATGAACACATCATGACAGACTTACCTTCCAATAAGACTATTTTTAATCAGCGCTTACTCTACCCCTTACTTTCATCATTCCAGAGAAAGATCATTGAAAATTGAATCGTGAGCACCTCATGTCAGGAAACTAATGCTATCGGTGATCTCGCTGCAACAGTTACTAAATGGAAAACTAAGGATCGCTCTCAAAATTTCATCGAGAATCAATTCGAACTGCAACTAAATGAAGTGTTGTGCCCATTGTTTATTCAGAAAAGAAATTGCAGGCTTCCGGGATTCAGAATCCTAAATACACTATCAAGGAAGGATGCAACCTTCAGAAATTAGCTACATTCAAAAAATCTCCTATGTC